GCACCACCTCTTGGTGTGTGGGCTGGAGAAGTTTACCCTGCCTTGCCTTACCTTAGCCAGCCGTAGACATGTGCGATTGCATCGAGGTCGCCTCGTCCAGCGCTGACCGTGCCAGGACGCGCTCCCAGTCGCTCAGGGTCGCCTCGATCTCCTCCCTGCCATGCTGATCCAGATTCACGCAGAGTGGCGCGAGTCGCTGGACGATAGCGGCGGAGATGGATCCGCTCTCGCCCCGTTGCCGGATACAGCTCTCGACGATGTGGTCGACGCTCACCCCGTCTGATAGCTGACGGCCGAGCAGCTCCGCCACCTGGGCCCTGGATAGCGGCAGGGTTGTTTGAGCCACGATTTCAGCAAAGGATGGGGCGTTGAGCGACGCAAAGAGGTCCGCCCAAGCTGGCGCCGGCATCAGCTCCTGCAGCAGGCGAGGGTCGTCGTACGTGCGGCTCATCTGCTCGAGCAGCGCCGGCAGAGTCCCCTCGGCCTGGGCCTCGGCGCTGACGACCGTCTGCCCGATCGCGCCCTCCGGGGAAACCGGCACGGCTTCGGCGGCGACAGCCTCGCCCGGCAGGCCGCCCACGACCGCCTCGCCCATTGGCACGCCGACGACCGTGGCGACCACCACGGTGCTGTTCCAGTCCGGCGGCTTTGCGTCGAGCGCTTGCTGCGTCTGCATCTCCTCTCCGTCGAGAGGAGCCGCGATTGGCATTGCCACCACCGGCACGGCGTCCACCGATGACACCGGCTCACCAAGCGGCGCTGCTCGCTCTGCGACGCGAACGGGCACTTTGATCTCCGGGTCTGTGACGCAGCAGGGCGTCTCGACCCGGATCGTCATCTCGTGCCGGACGGCGAGCACGGCTCCAATATAAGTGTCGCGTGCCTGGCTGTGGCAAGTGAGCGTGCGCTGGGCGCCCCCGCCGAGTAGCGACTCGTGCATGCCCTCGAGCACTGAGCGGCGCACAGGCTCGGCGGTGATCATCGCAACGCTGTCTCGCGACCTCGCACGCAGGCCCTTGACCTCATGCGGGTCGTACTCAGTATAAGCCACCACGCGCGAGTCGCTCGACGAGTGCCCTCCCGCCTCCCAAGACACCGACTCTTTAACTTGGACGTAGAGCCGCCTCGGCTCGACATGCGACTCATTTTGCACGACCGCGCCGACGAGGAGTTGATCGCCCCGCCCAACGACGGTGTCCTCTACCCGTGCGCCGAGCGTGATGCGGCCCTGGCCGATGCAGCAGCAAAAGGCAACCGTCTCCGTGTCCGGCCTCGCAAAGAAGGGCTGCGCCGGCAACTGCAGTGGCGCCGCCGCAACGTGAAGCGGCGCTTTCGCTGCCACAGTGCCCTGCATGAGGGTCCACCCCGACCGCTGCAGGGTTGCGCGCACGCTGTATGCGATCCTGCACTCTCCCTCCCCGCCCTGCGCAAAGAGGGAGCTAGGAAGGCCGAGCGGCAGCTCGGCTGTGAAGGGGAATTCATAGCGCCCAGGCATGATTTGCGGCGCGCTAAAGGTGGCAATCGCCGTCTGCAGCTTGAGCAGCGACCGTGATGCGTGCGCATCGCGGCGATGCCGCTTAGTCTTGCCGTTGCGGGTCTCTGTCTCCTCCCAGCGAGTGTACGCGTGCTCCTCTCCCTCAATGACGAGCGAGATTGAGGAGGCGTCGCACGGCGAGTGGACAACCAGGTAGACTCTCCCGCTCACGACTCCGCCTGCGTAGACGGCCGGGGCGTCGAGGCCGATGGCGAGAGTGGCATTCGAGTTGCCCATGACTGCTGGCGCAGGGGCGCGGGCGGGCGTGCGCCCGCAGTCCTGCAGCGACGGGTAGCCGAAACGGCGGGTTGCCCGTTTATGTCTGTCTCGCTTGCGGGTACGACAAAACAAAAAGTTTCATAACATCGAAGGCTAAGCTCAAACAAAAAGTTTCCTAACATCGAAGGCTAAGCTCAAACAAAAAAGGAGGGGGCGTGGCGTGGAGCTCCGAGATAGCGCGAGATCGCCCGAGATCGCGCGGCGCGGCCCCGAGATCGCCCGAGATAGCGCGAGATCGCCCGAGATCGCGTGGCGCGGCCCGAGGCGAGCGAGGTGGGTGGGTTGGGAGCGAGGGGGCGGAAGTGTTCAGTGCGGTAGATGGTCAGCTCGGGGCGCAAGAGGTGGCCTGTGAGCCATCCGGCTTACATTTACCCTGCGTTCTCGCACATGGAGTGCGAGGTATCTCGTCTGTCGCCGTCCCAAACTGTCACTCCCCTCTCTCCCGGCCGGGGTGGGGCGCGCGCGGGGGCGGCGGGTGTGCGGGATGTCTGTGGGCCCGAGAGCGATATGCCATGTCCGCCTTGCGTTTGTTTTCATAACATCGAAGGCTAAGCTCAAACAAAAAAATCTCTCTCTCTGGATACGTGGCCGGGAGGAGGCAGACTGTGTCCGCGCACAGGGAAGCTCACGGGTTCGAGGCACAAAAGACATGCCTAAAAACCCAACCCAGTGAGTGCCGTGTCTTCCACGCAAAGTGTGTGTGAGAGAAGTGTTTGTTTGTTGCACGGCGGCGCCGGCCGGCGCGGGCGGGGCCGGCGGGGCTGCATGCATGCAAGTGACAGCTGACCAAGCAATCATACTCTCTCTCTCTTTCCCTTTAATATGAATAAAACAAAAAGAACAGGGGGGAAATAAACATCGGGCGCTTCCGGACGAGACCCCACCCCCCGCTCGCTACTCGGGTGTGTATGAAATGGAGCATGAGGCTATGAGATGGACCAGATCTGGCTCAGAATACTCCATCTTCATAGACGTAAGCATGCAATGACGTGCCGCCAATCTTGAAACGGTGCTTGACGCCGTCGCCTTCGAAGAAGTGAAAGACCTCCTGTGCACAGGATCCTGCCTCGTCGTACACCCACGGCATGCCCTCCACACCTCGGTTGACTTGGTACACATCGCGACCCGGATATTGGTTGCACCGGGCTCGACCCTCACCTCGCCCTCGTACCACGAGTCACACGCGTCACACGAGTCGATCGCGCACTCATCGCCGCTGAAGCTGTTGTAGCGGACGGTCATGACGATTTGGCACCAGCCGGTTCCTTCGAAGGCAAAGCGACCGGGCGTTCCCATCAATCCGTCAGTCAAACGGCCGGTGCTGCTTGCATACTCTGTCTGCGCGGCAATGAGCTCATCGGTTATACCGATAACATCCGAGCGGAACTTGTAGCTTCGGACCAGGGGCAACCGTCGCAGCCGATGCCGCTCCACCGGCGAGCGCCATCCCAACAATGGCAGTCTAGCGTCGACGGGGCCGCAAGCATACAGACGCCGCTTGCGATGCTGACTCCACCTGCAGTGCCGTGAGAAGTGTGCGTCAGAGCGTGGTGCAGCTGGTTCGAGGATTTGAGCTCCTCGGTCTTTGCAATGCAGCAGTTGATGCTGCGGACAACAGTCGCCTGCGCTTTGCACGTTTCCTCCGCATCGTAGACCGCTTTGATCTGCTGTAGCCTGCTGATGAGGGCGTCGCAGTTCTCCGCTGTTGGGTTGCCGCGATACAGCTCATGCAGTGCGAGGCCGAGCTGAAGGGCCCCGGTTGCAACGCCAAGGCCCCCCGCTACCCGCCCGATCAAAGCGAGACGGCTAGCCCCAGCCGCCACCGGGGCAACGCCGCTGGACGCGTCTGAGCTCGCTTCGGCGGATGCTGCTGCCAAATTTACGGCATGCCCTGCCTGCGTGCCGATGCCGATGGCACGCCCTCCCTGGACGCTGCCGAAGAGCATGCCATGCCAAAGCGCGTTGCGTGCAGCGTCCGAAAGGCTGTAATATACCTGTGCTAGCTCCGCAAGGAAGATCAGCGCCTCCACCGCCGAGGTCACCTCATCGTGGATCTCGCAGCCCTTGCGCCAATCAAACTTGTAGAGGAGGAACCAGTAGTGATCGACAGAGTGGGCATGCAGGCCGTCCCTGCTAAGTCGGCTCAGGAGCTCAGACGCCGACCTGATGGGCGAGGCGCTGGTCATGACTACCTCGAGGTAGTCCGCAGCTTTACGGATCAGCGGCCACGTCGACCCGAGGTACTTGTACCCAAGGTCGGCGTCGAGGACGATAGGCGTCACGGCGTGCTCGTACCCAAGCGGCTGCGGCGGAAGGTTGGGTACCGCATCTAGGCCGCAAATGTAGCTCACAACTCGCTTGCCGAGGAGGTCGCGGCAGTGCTTGGCAAATGCCACATTGCCCGGCTTCGGAGCCGCGAACGTGACTGCGTATGCGTCGACTGAGCGCCGCGAGCCATCGCTGTCATTGGCCCAAATCGTGGCGAGTAGCAGGGCTACGGCTCCGCCGAGCGAATGCCCGACAAAGAAGACGCTGCGTGCGCCGTGCAGAAGTGAAGGCACCCGCTCCTGGAGAGCCCTTGCTATTTCACACGCAGCCTCCATCCAGGCAGCCGCGGTGCACCGTCGCGCCTTTACGCGGATCGGCAAGTAAAATGTCCGTCGTCACCTGCGCGGCGTCGAAGTTGACAAGCCAGTTTGCAGGAAGAGCGGAGCCACGCACGGCAACGATGAACGTCTGGTTTGGTCCGGCGGACCACTTCGGGTCACCGGACCGCGTCATGTACACACGGACGAGAATTCGGCGGTTTGCGAGCGTGAACTCGTCTTCGAGCGACACGGGGTCATCAGGTGGCCGGAACTTGGTGTCAGGTGGCCGGAACTTGGTGTCTTGCGCCTCGTCGAACTTGGCGTCGTCGTCGTACGTGTGGAATGCCGCCTGTGCAAGCAGGAGGTGCATGCGGCGTGAGTCGTCAAACGACATCTTGCTGTCTGCCCGGCGGAATTTGGTAGTGGCTGCTGTGTACTACCGCTCTACAAGATGAAATAACTAACACGTATAGCCAAACAAAAAGCAAGCTCGCCAAGCACACACACCAGCATCATCTCCTACCGAGCGGCGAGCTCGCTTGGTCGAATCGCGCGTCCGCTACCCCGACGGCGCCCGTGAAGTCGACGCTGTCGAGAACGGCGCCGCGGAAGTCCGCCCCGCTCACGGTGGCGTCCTTGAAGGAGACGCCGAGCAGGTTGGCCTTGATGAAGCTCGCGCCCGCCAGGTTCGCGCCCGTGAAGTCGGAGAACTCGAGGACAGCGCGCGTCAGATCCGCCCGGTCGAGCTTGCACTGGCCGCAGTTGACGCGCTTGAGGCTGGCGTCCGAGAGGACGGCGCCGGAGAGCTTCGCCTTGGACATGACGGCGTCGTCCAGCGTCGCGTCGTGCAGCCTACGCCACAGCCACGCCCCGGTGAGGGGCACTCTGTTCACACGCTCGGATCGGTGAACCAGCGTCGCGGGCAGCCTATACGCCACAGCGGCGGGGACGGGGAGGTTCAAGGGCAGGCTGCCCACACACTCTCGTGTGCGGAGCGGGGTCGGTGTTCGTGCAGCCTGGCGGCCTCGAAGGAGACATCCGTCAGCTCGGAGCCAGAGAAGTCAGACCGCTTCAGGTTGGCGCCTAACCCACGGCTGTCGCTGTGAACACAGCCGGTGCCCGCGGCTGTGGAAGGACCGCCCCCTCCCTTCGGGCGGGTGTGCGGCCCTTGAAGTTTGCCCCGACGAGCATCGCTCTGACGCCCTTGAGCGTTGGCGCATCGGCGGCTGCAAAGGAAGCGTACCCAGCCTAAGGGGGCGGTAGGTCTATGGCGACCGGCTCCCATACCAAGGCCGGGGGCCTCTTCACACACACACACACACACACACACACACACACACACACACACACACACACACACACACACACACACACACACACACACACACACACACACACACACACACACACACACACACACACACACACACACACACACACACACACACACACACACACACACACACACACAAGGAGCACACACAGCCGCCGAGTGCGTGTCTGCTGTGGGCGATGCTCGTTGGAGTGCGATCGGCTCGAGGGTCGTGCTTGTGTAGTCTAGTGAGCAAGGAGACAGGCTCGAGGGTGTGTGTTAGCCCAGTCCGGCGTGAGTGGCCGCATCTAGCGCACTCCGCCTTCGTCCCGCTCACCGTCGCCGCCGTCAAGTCCGCGCCGTCAAAGACAGCTCGCTCGAGCAGCTTGCCTGTCTCGGACGAATCCCGGTGTGTCTCTCTCGGCTCGTGTGTCTCTCTCATCTGATCTCGGCGATCTCTCGGCTACATCTCTCGCCCTCGAAGCTGACGCCGCGCAAGTCGCAGGACGCGAACTCGCCGCCAAACAAGTCTGTCCCAGACCGCACGGAAGCGCCTGAGGAGCGGGGAGGCCACATCAAGGCATGCGAATGAGCTGTTCATCGCGTCTCGCACGGAGCCATACCGCCGCCCCGCCGCCCACCCCTTTTCGGCTGCACCTCGGCTGCACCTCGGCTGCACCTCGGCTGCACCTCGGCTGCACCTCGGCTGCACCTCGGCTGCACCTCGGCTACACATCTCGGCTACACCTCGCCGCAGCCGGCTCGCATCCAGACCACCTCCGGCTCCCTTCCCAGCGGGTCGTACCTGAGATCCACCACAAGTCGCATGGATGAGCCACTCTCGCCCGATCGGGGGGTCCGTCCGCCAGCCGACGTGGCACCCCGCCGCGCCCGAAAAGTCCGCCAGGGCATAGCCGGTGGCGCCTGTCAAGAAGGCTCGGAGTTTGCTCCCAGAAGGCCCTTCGGAAGAGACACGCCACCGAGACCCGCGAAATCAGCTAGTCTGAGGTGTGTGCTGGCGATTCCCCGCGAATCGTTGGGCTAATCGGTTCGGCGGATGGTTTGCAAGTGGCGGTCGGCGCCGGAAAAGTTGCAGCGAGTGAGGTTGGCGTCGCGGAAGGACGCCCCTAGGAACAGAGGGCTCCCGGACGGCTCTCGGAAGGTTCGTCGAGGGCTCGCGGAAAGGTCATAGTGTCGAGGAGGCGCCGGTGAGGTCCGCCTTTGCCAGAAGTAGATAGCCGCGGGAGCAGCCTCAATGAGTGAGTTCGATTAAGTAGAGGTCAAGGCTCAATTAAGAGGGTGTCAGCTCCACCTTTGCGAAGTTTGCTCCGGCGAGGTTGGCGTGGTTGAAGGTTGCGCGGACAAACGAGCCGCGCGTGCCTGTCACGGGTCAATCTCGGCGGATCTCGCGGTGAGTCGAGTGCGGACGAGCGCGTCTTTGAACCGCGCCACAGGTCCGCCACGACTCTCTCTCTGCGACTGACCACTGACGAATGCCTAACTGATGCGCCTCCTCAGTCACACGAGCCAATGTGCACACGCGAGTCGCATCTAGGCGTGCGTGCAGTCCGACCCTCGCAGGTCCGCCACGTTGAGGTTGGCGCCGTCGAACACCGCGTCCTGCCGTCCACCGCCCGTCGATGAAAGCCGCGCAGTATAGCTCAGATATGTCAATCAGCAGTTCATACCCCCCCCCCCTCTGGCGCGGCGTCCTGCAGCTGCGCCCTCGCCATCGTGCTCGACGGAAGCCGCGCGCCCGCGAAGCTCGCAAAGTAGAGCTCCGCGCCGTCGAAGGCTGCGCTGGTGAGCCGCGCGTCGCCAAAGTCGCAGCCTGGTGAGTCACACACACGGCGAGAATGAGCGCGCCACCGTGGCAGTGTCGGCGCGGGGGGGCGCGTTGCAGTCGAGGCAAAACCGAGGAGCTTCGAGTGTCGAAAGTCGGAGAACTCGAGCGACGCTGCGCGGAAGGATGCCATCGAGGCGGCGACCCGCTCGAGGAGGGCCGTGTACAGCGCCGCCTGGCGTTCACTGTGGTACTATTCATTCGGCGGACGTGCGCCAGATTTAATGACGGCTGTGTTCAGCCGCCCTGACACCTCGAGCAATCTCGGGTCATCTCGGAGGCCATCTCGGAGGCCATCTGGAGGCCGTCCCATCTCGGCCAATCTCTGTGCGATCTCCGCCTCGTCGAGAGTTGCCCCCGAGAAGTCCGCACCCCGGAGGTCCGCCCGCCGGAGGGAGCGGCCGACCCAATGCACGCCTGACTAATGAGGACTGCTTCGGTCAGTGATCAAGGCGGGAGGGGCGGCCGACCCAATGCATGCCTCGGAGGTCGCAGCCGCGCAGCTCGACGCCGTCCGTCTGTTAGCATTGTCGCAGTGATCAGTTCATGAGTCGAGCTCTATCACCCGATTAGCGTTCAGCTCGACGCCGCTGAACTATCGTCTATCGTCGTCCGTGCTAGGACGAGATGCTAACGGCGTGCGTAAGGCTGCTACCCTACCCTCCGGCTACCGACTACAGTCTCCACCGCTCACCGCGGCTGCGGTGGGGCAGCTCCGCAGCTTGACGGCGGGCGGAGGCGGCGCCGGCAGCGGAGGCGGCGCCGGCAGTGGCGAAGCTGGCGGCGCGAGGCGTCTCGGCGAGGGTGGGTCGGAGGGGATTTGAAAGGCGTCGCGCAGCTTTGGCATGTCCTTGACGTGGCAGCTCGCTCCGGGGAGGGGGAGGGTGTGCGTGATCGGCACCTTGTGCAGCTTGCACCGCGTGTACGTCTTGAAGGAGCCGTGCTCGTACGCGACGCAGACTTCGCCAGCCAGCGTGCAGAGCGAAGCGCAGTCGCTTCCCGTGAGCTGCCAGTGCTCGTCGAATGAGCCCTGGTTGCCGCCAAGCGTGCGGCAGGAGCCTATTTTCGAGACGTACACGGCCCTCGCGGCCGCGGCAGGACAGACGAGATGTGCGAGGCCGAGGAAAACGAGGTCGAGGAAGCGCTGGAGAACCATATTTTGGCGCAGCTGTGAGCGCTGTCAGAGCGGTGTTTCGAAACGATATCGTTCAAGGAGAACGCTGACTCAAAATCCGCTGTTCACACTTCACAGGTAAGTGTAAGCGGAGCAATCGAGTAGATACAGCGAATCCTTTGTGTTCACATAGACACATATCCCCGGGCCCGAGCACACACACACACACACACACACACACACACACACACACACACACACACACACACACACACACACACACACACACACACACACACACACACACACACACACACACACACACACACACACACACACACACACACACAACAAATGTTTTGCGCGCGCGTGAACAGGCCCCAAATGACGTGTGAGTGTTAGAGTTGTTTGGTATTGCTAAAAATCTCTCTCTCTCACACACACACACGAAATCAAGCTCTGGACGCCCCTCCTCAAGACCTCCTCGACGGGCGTTGGCAACGCCTCGAGTGGCGGCACGCCCGCCTCCGTTGGCCACTCCTACGCCTTCGGCAACACCGAAGAGAAGGCCCGCCGCCTAAATATGGGTTGCAAGGCGCGCGGGCAGCCCGGCCAACCCTTCTCCCACAAGACCGGCCACGGCTACGTCAAGGCGCGCATCGCGGTTTCTACCACGACGCGATCTTTGTCAAGCGCAACAACTTCAACCTGCTGCTCCACGAGACGTTCGGCGGCGGCTTCTCGCCCACCGCCGTTCTCAAGCTGCGCCGCCTCGCGCGCAAAGTCGCGCGCGGCAGCGTTGACCGCACGGCCTACTCGCCCAAGTACTCGCTCTCTTTTATGTCCCACCATGCAGAGCGCATCTCTCTCTCTGTTGTGCGAGGCCTGAACCGCGTCATTCGCTCTCACCTGGCAACCCTGTCTGCACGTCTCGCGCGCGCGTGAACAGGGCAGGCCCCAAATGACGTGTGAGTGTTAGAGTTGTTTGGTATTCCTAATCTCTCTCTCTCTCTCTCTCTCTCTCTCTCTCTCTCTCTCTCTCTCTCTCTCTCTCTCTCTCTCTCTCTCTCTCTCACACACACACACACACACACACACACACACACACACACACACACACACACACACACACACACACACACACACACACACACACACACACACACACCAACGGCGTTCACCACACTTCAAACAAAATCTCTCTCTCCCACACTTCTATAGTCACCACCTAAACACTTCGAGTGCCCTCCGCTTGCACCGACCGCGGGGCGCGGCGTTGAGCCGGTGCTGCCAGACCCGGTGCCTATGCTGCATACGAATTACGGTGGAGGGCGCAGATCGTGCGAGCCAGATGCCGGCGCCCGTCAGCAGATCGGGTCGGCAGCTGCGAGCATTCTCGAGCGGCGCGGCGAGGCGGCGCGAGCGAAGGTGCTAGATAAAATCCGGTGGGGAACCGACATCATGGCCCCGAATGCCGTGCTCTCTAGGTAATCTGCGGGAGCTCCACAAACCAGGTTCGTCGCCGTCTTCTTCGGCCTCTACGAGTACTTCCGGCGGGTGCTCGAGGGCGGCGCGGGCATCGACCTTGCGGGCGGCGCGGTCGCCGGGAGCGCGGCCGACGTCGTCGAGACCTCGAGAGAGGCCAGCCAAACTTGCGCGTGACAGTGAGGCGGCCCAACAACGCATCGGCGCCAACTCGCGCCAACTCGCACGTACCGAGCTCCCCAGCCTCGACCCGCGCCCGAGATGTTTTCGTCCTTCTCGCCTTCGGCCGAGGCGCACCGCCTGGTCATCTCCCACCGTCTCAACCTCACCATCAGGCCCGTGGCGCACACGGCCTCCTCCTTCGACGACTGCTCGGCCGGCGTCCTGCACCCAAGCAGCCGGGTCTGCTGCAACGCTACTTGCGGGCTGTGCGGCGGACGCGGCTGCTCCAGTCGCCCTGGCGGGGCACCCCAGTGCTGCATGCCCGCTATTTTGCGCACGGGTCGGGTCTGCGAATCACGAGCGGACGTGGCTTGCATCCTGCGGGGCAGCAGCAACTACACCCGAGGCGATCTGCTCCGCGGCGCCGCATGCTCGTTGCAATGCCAGAATGCATCGCGCTGTGCCATTTCCACGTGTGGGGCGGCATGCTGTGCTAACTGGGGCACCATCCCTACCCGGCGGACGCCAAAGACAGCCGAGGCCGTCACGCACGCCATGGACATGCGGTTGGGCCCATCAACACTGGCAGTCATGGCCATCGCTCGTGACGAGTGTCAGAGCTTTCCTTCTTGGCTGGCGCACTACCGAGCGCAGGGAGTCACGACCTTCCACATTATTGACAACAACTCAACTGATTGGACCCGACGCGGCTGCCTCAACGTGCTAAGAACGCCCGACGTCATTATCCACTCATGGCCGTTCACGGCACGTGACCTGGCGACTGCCAAGGCTGAAGGACGGTACTCCTGTCCGAGCGATAACCAGAGCACCACCGGTGTCGAGCCGGCAACGTGCGGCAGTATTCAGGTGGCGGCTTACAATACGGTCCTCCCCCACGTGGCGTCGGAGTGGATAATGCCAGTCGACCTAGACGAGTACGCGTTTGGCGTGCGGCAAACGCTCGCATCCTTTCTCGCCTCGTCCCTTCCCAGCGTACGGCAAGTCTGCATCCCCTGGCTTATCTTTGGCTCCAGCAACCGCACGGTGCAGCCCGCATGTATTGCACGGGACCTCGTTCGCCGAGCCAAGGACTTTGAGACCAATGGGAAGTGTGTCCAGCGCACGCGATATACGAGACGCATCGAGGTGCACCGATCCGTGATGCACGGTGAGACCTACAACCAGAGGAGAGAAGGGTGCGTCTGTCCAAGCGGGGCACAGTGCCGGACGAAGCCACCGCCCTCGCTAGCTTGCGCAGGCAAGATGCATCATTACAAAGCTCCCGCCGTGCGCTTGCATCATTACAAAGCTCAATCACAGGAATCTATCGAGCGGAAGATGAGCAACAGGGAGAGCACAATGTTTGAAAGTGTTTTCAATCGGCAGTCGGCAGGGTTTTGGCTGAACCGGGACAGGCCAAGGTATAACGAGGTTGTCGACACGGCCTTGGCCGAGCGAGCCGCTTGCCCGCACAACTACGTCTAGCAGTAGGTAGGCTGTGCCGACGTGGTCCATGTGGTCGCGCCATAGCAGTCACAACCGAGACAGCGTTGCACATGGCAGATCTCCCTCTTGCTCTTCGTCGCCGTTGACTTTTTTATTCCAAAGTCCAAACTCTTGAACGTTGAACTTGAGAAACCGTAAAATTAAAAATTGTCAATACGTTCGTACAAACGCCTAGAGTCTAGAGACTAGACACTAGACCGCGACTCCGCGACGCGCGAGGCACCGAGCCGCCCCGCCGCGCTGGAAAGGGAAAAAGCCTTAGCTTTGGCTTTGATATCGTGATATCGGGGGATCAGCTCCATTGCCCCCCCCCCCCCCCCACACACACCCACCACCCACCCACGCACTTCTAGTGCCCTGCCAGCGCCTCCCCCTCAGTCCTCGCCGCCGCGTCCGCCCCGCCGCCCGGCTCGAGGAATCGGAAGCCGAGCTCCCGGCCGAAATCGCGGTAGCGCTCCGCCTCGGACTCGTCAGCCGGCAGCGAGACGACCACGCCTAGTGTTGTGTGTTCTGGTCTCGAGCATCGCAAGAACACACGGGCTACGAGTACGGTGCGTACGCTGCAATACCGGCTGAATACAGCTGAGTACGCGTCCTCTCGAGTGATCATCGGAGCACATGCACAGAGCTCTCCCCCTCTAGGCGAGCACGCCCGGCGAGCCGCCCACCCGCCCCACCCGGCCGGCGCGGTGGAGGTAGGCGGCGAAGTCGGCGGGGAGAGACGCGTTGACCACGTGTGTCGCGCCTACGGGCTGATGATGCCGCCGAGGTCGAGGGCGAGATCGCAGCGCGGCTGGCTCAAGGCGGGAGACGCGGGCGCCGGGCAAGTCGATGCCTCGCGCCAGCATCTCTGTCGCCGCCAACACACGCACCCTCCCCCCCGCTAGCCCCCGCACCGCGCCGCGCCGCGCCCGCCGCCCGCTCGCGCTCTCGCTGTCGTGCGAGTGGATGGCGGCCGCGCCGCGCCGCGCGCCTGCCCGCAGCTTTTCTTCTTTCCGAGGTATAGCTCTCTTCTGGTGGGAGAGTGTGGGAGATTTGGGAGAGTGTGGGAGAGTGTGGGAGAGTGTGGGAGGTGCGTGAGGGTGACAGAGGCGCGCTGCGCCGCCGTGCGCCTCCCATCAGCGCGACGACTCGCTCGGCGCCGGCGCCTATTCGGTGTAGGACCAAAGATGAAGTAAGGACTTAATAACAAAAGCGACTCGCTCAGCGCCAGCGCCGCTCTCGACGAAGACGACCGCCGCAGCCCTCGCCGCACCCGCCTCGGCTCCCTCTGCTGCACCCGCCGCCTCTGCTCCCTCCGCCGCCTCTGCTGCACCCGCCGCCTCTGCTGCACCCGCCGCCTCTGCTGCACCCGCCGCCTCTGCTGCTCCCGCCGCCTCTGCTCCCTCCGCCGCCTCTGCCCCCGCCAGCGAGTCAGCTCCCTCCGAGAGGATCCGCCGCAACACGCGCCGCAGCCGGGAGAGGTCCCCGCCGCCCTCGCCTCCGCCCTCCCCGCCCTCGCCTCCGCCGCCGCCGCCGCCCACGCCGAACCCGCCCGGCGGCAGCAGCACGTGCCGCAGCGAGGGAGGGAGCGGGCCGTCGGACGAGAGGAGCGGCGCCTACGCGGAAGTTCCGGCAAGGTTCGCAGACGGCTCAAGGGGAGGCGGGCCGGCGGAGGAGAGCGAGCGGCGCCAGGGGAGGGTGGCCCGCGCGCCGCAGCATCTCTCCGCACGCGGCCCTGTCAGCGCCGGCAGAGACGAGCCAGACGGAGCCGGCCCGCCACGCCTCCGGCGCCGACCGTGGGCGCGCCTCGCCGCCGCCGCCCATCGCCGCCGCGGTGTGCCGGCTGGAGGGCGCGGCGGCGGCGGCGGCGGCTTGCGGCGCTGTCCAGAAGGGTGCGGGTGCGGAGAGGATGCGGTGCACGTGCGGCGCACGGTGAGGCTCGGAGAGAGCGTCCACCTCGTCGAGGACGAGGACGCGCGCGGCGGCGTTGCTGGCGAGCGGGAGGACGCGCGAGTGAAGCAGGACTCCGAGCGGCTGCGGCGTGCCGACGAGGACGTGCGGAGGCTGACAGCGCAGCTCAGACTCCATGCGCGTGTTGACGCGCCCCATCGCAGAGGAGACGCGGAGGGCGTTGCCCTTCTTGTTGGCCCGCCCGTGACCGCTCACCGCCTTGAGCAGCCGCAGCGTCTGCAAGCAGAGCTCGCGCGACGGCACCACGATGACGCACTGCACAGCGCGCTCTCGCGGGTCGACGCGCGCCAGCAGCGGCAGCAGGTAGGCGAGCGTCTTGCCACTCCCGGTGTGCCAGCGGAGGACCGCAGACTTGGGAGGCTCCGCGAGCGGCGAGGCACCCGGCCGCTTCATCAGCAGCGACATGGCAGCATCCTGCACCGGCGTCGGCCTCCGCATACCGAGTGCCGCCAGCCGTGAGGCGAGGACCGACGGAACGCCGAGTGCGGCAAAGGAGCTGCCACGACAGGGCGATGCCGGCGATGCTCGCGCCGCTCGTAGGACGGCGGCGGAGCAGAACTGCCGGCCTGGTATCATCGAGTCGACCCAGAAGCGGAGTAGCCGGAGCTGGCGAGGGGAGCTCCAGCAAACAGGCTCGACAAGAGCAGGATTCGAGGTTTCTGGGGGGTAGGGTATGGTTCGCGGCCCTGGCGCCGCGACCATACCCCCCCACCCGCACAGGACGTCGCCTCTGGCCAGCAGGACCATACCCCCCCACCCCCCACCCCACCACACGAGCGCGTGCAGCAACCGTCGTGTTACATGTACATGTAGGCCGTCCGAGAGAGTTTAAGACACATGACCATGACTGGACGCCAGGCGGTAGGGGGGACGATGCAGACCACATAACGCATAAAAAGAAAGAAATAAAGAAAGAACACAGACACGCCAAACGAGGGATGGGACGAGGACAGGGCCCCCACCTGAAAAAAAACTGGGGACGGATGTGGTTTTCTTCTTTCTGGCGGCATGAGCGGCGCAGCGAGCCCAACTCTGCTGCCCGATCTGGCAGTGGGCGAGCTGGGCTCGCTGCTGGCCCTGCTCTCCTGCCGGCGGACGCGCGGGAGGCTCAACGCGCGGCTCGACACCGACACGCAGGACACGCTGCTCACCTGGGCCGCTTGCCACGGGCAAGCCGAGGCGGTGCGGCTGCTGCTCGAAGCCGGCGCGAGCGTCGGGGCGGCGGACGGCGAAGCCGCCTCCGCTCTCCTCCTTGCGTGCGAGAAGGGCCACCTCGAGTGCGCCCGGCTGCTCCTCAAGGCCAACGCGGCGGTCGATCAAGCCATGAACGATGGCTCCACGCCGCTGCTCATGGCGTGCCAGGAGGGACAGCTCGAGTGCGCCCGGCTGCTCCTCAAGGAAGGCGCGGCGGTCGACCAAGCCGATAAGGATGGCTTCACTCCGCTGTTCGTCGCGTGCCAGTATGGCCACCTCGAGTGCGCCCGGCTGCTCCTCGAGGCCAGCGCGGCAGTCAACCAAGCCGCAGAGGACGGCGCCACGCCGCTGTACATCGCGTGCGCTCGGGGCCACGTCGAGATCGTTCGACTGCTTCTCGAGGCCAGCGCGGCGGTCGGCCAAGCTAGCACCAGAGGCGTCGCCCCGCTGTACATCGCGTGCCAGATGGGCCACCTCGAGATCGCCCGGCTGCTTCTCGAGGCGGGCGCGGTGGTCAGCCAAGCCGCGGAGGACGGCGCCACGCCGCTGTGCATGGCGTGCTGGAAGGGCCACGTCGACATCGCCCGGTCCGCCCGCGGAGACCCGTCGCCAGACGACGCCGGGGCAGACGATGGGTGGGGTGGTGGAGCAGGCGCGCAGGGCGAGTCAAGCGGCCTCCCGCACCGGCCGTTGTCGCTGAACCTAGAGCTCTCCCTTCGATGTGGCCGCGGGCTGGTGGTCCACTTGGCTGGCTTCGAGCCCACTCCAGGCAGCTGCTGCCCACTGCCGTTGCGGTGATCTCTCTCGTCCTCGCGTCGGCATGGAACCGCTGGCGCTGGCGGCTCACCACCCGCCAGGCGATGCGGCCGCGGCAGCGCTCGCGGAGGCCGAGCTTTGAGAGCTTGCGCCACCTGCCGCGCGAGGGCCGCGCGCTGCTGGCGGGCGCCGTCTGCCTCGCCCGCTCCGCCGTGACGCAGTACGCTGTCAACCCGACCTCCGTCATCGAGGAGCGTGTCGCGATTGCGATGGTCGGCCTGCCGGCGCGCGGCAAGTCGTACCTCTCAAAGTCGATTGTCCGCTACCTCAACTTCGTCGGCTGCCCGGCCCGGCTCTTCAACGCCGGCTCGCGCCGCCGTGACGCCGGCCTGGCCGGCTCCGGCGCCGCCTTCTTCGACGCTGCAAACGAAGACGCCGCGGCGCAGCGAGAGGAGATCGCGATGGACACGCTGGAGGAGCGGCTGCGCTGCCGGCGAGTCGGTGAGATGTGAGGGACTGAGGGACCGATGTGCGGTGAGTGGATGGTAGGAGCGGCCCTCTCCGTTGGTCTCGCGGCTCCCGAGCTTCGGCTTGTACACGCCCGACTTGACGCCCGACTTGTCGCCGCGCACGGCCGGGCGCGTCACGTCCATCGACCCGGCCGGCGCGACGTAGACGGCGGGCGGGATGCCCCACTCGTTGGACTTTGCCACGCCGCACTCGGTGCGGAGAGTGCCGAGGACTGAGGCGGGCAGTCGGGGGCTGAGCGGCGCGGGACAGGCAGCAGGGCAGGGCGGCGCGGGCAGGGCGACGCGCAGGGGCGCTTGGCGCGGCGGGCGGCGGTGGGTGGCGGCGGCGGCCGGGCCGACGCGCGCCTCGCTCCACCTCTGACGTGTCCCAGAAGGGGCTGACGTAGACGCAGATGATGTGGCCGCCGTGCGCCATCTGCATGCCTGCGCCGCTCACCTTGGCGGAGGAGCCAAGCTTGCCCTCCCAGAGGGCGGCGACGATCTTGCGCCACATCTCGTCCACCTCCTCCGCCTCGGCCTGGATCAGCCACTTGCCCCGCCCAAAGTTGTGCGCCTTGAGCGTCGCAGTGAGCGTGGAGAGCGACTTGCTGCCCACCGCCTGCCAAGCCTTTTTCGCCTCGGCCTCGGCCTCCGCACGATTGCCGCCGCCCTTCTCCTCCGCCCCGCCCTCCTCAGCGCTGCCGCCGCCGGCCAGCGCAGACCGGCCGTCGTGGCGCGCGGCGATCCACTCCTTTCCACACGACCGCGGCGGGAAGGCGCCGGCGAATGAGTCGACGCTCTCGTCGGCCTCCGCGAAGACCCACGTGTCGCCGTTGTCCTCGCGCGCGCCGCGGTCGACCCCGTGTGCCGGCCGAGCTCGCTCTCCGTTGCCATCGGTGGTGCTTCGAAGCGAGGCAGGGCCCCGGCGATTAGATCGTGGCCGTTGCTCACGCCGCGAGCTCGCGCCACTTCTCGCTGAGCGGAAAAGAATTGCGGCGGTTGGGGGACGCGCGAGGCTCCGCGCCAGCACCGTCGTGCCGCGTTCCTGCTGGCCACCCTGCCGCCGCGGGCGCCGCCGCCGCGTGGCCCATTCCCAGCCCGGCGCCCGATCCGCATGCCGAGCTGCAGCGCGGGCTGCTCAATGGACAAAATCAAAAATGCGACGAAAATGGGGCGGCGCGAGGAGTGTCGGGAGCTTCTGAGCGCTGAGGCGGAACGCCGACGCTCAGCTGCATCCGGCAGTCGAGGTCGAGTCCCAGTACCCGACTACATCCCAAGTCGTGCGCGAGTCAAAGAGAGAAAGAGAGGATTAAAAATCCCAGCCCCTCTCTCGCAACTACTCTAGTCACTGGTTCGGTCGGACACTGGCACCAAGAAAGGCACGGCAGGCGCGATCGATGGCCCCTTATAGCCGCCGAAGGCCTCCTCCGGGCACCCGCCTCACCCCACCCCGCCCAACCCCGCCCTCTCCCCGCCCCCTCCCCAAAGCCGCACTCGGCTCTGCCTTCCTCCCGATCCCCACCCTCGTGCGCTCGCCGCCGGCGCCTCCTCCTCCCCCCCATGCGAGAGAGAGAGAGTACGAGCAGCGCCAGCACACCTCGCAGCCAAACAAACCGAGAAGAAAGCGCGCCCCAGAGGGAGCGGGAGGCGAGCGTTGCCGTGCTCAGGAAACCTGCCCTGCCGACAACTCCATCTCCTTCTCCATGACGCCGGCACCGTTACCAGCCAGAGGAGCCGCTGCCTTGACGCGGCCGGTCAGCTTGGACACGTCGCGCGGGGAGGCATGGGCGAGGCCAAAGCGCGAATACTTGAAGTCTGTGGCGTAGGGTGAAGCCATCAGGTAGTCGGTCGGCACCCCTTCGATAGCCCCCTCGGCCATCGCGCTCGTGGTGTACTCGCCGCGCACAGGGAACTCATCCTCCTTACCGAAGACGGCCTTGTTGTCGCCGTCCCACGACTGGCCAATCACGCCGTGGGGCGGCACGGAGAACTGGGATTCGGCGACGCGTGGCGTCATCTGCACATCGATGCGCCGCACGGGCCCCGCCACCGAGCGTTCGACAGCCTGCGGCGTGACCGCCAGCGCCCACTCGCCAGTGGCGACGTGCAGCGAGGAGTAGTCCATGTGCAGCGAGACGTCGTCGACCACCTTGGTCGTGTGCGGCCCAAGCGAGAATGCCTGCTGGTTGTCGATGGTCGCGTTCATCCACCCGATGTTGAGCGGACCGATCTTGCTCGCCCAGTACGAAGCGTGCACAGTGCGCCCGCCGCCGGTCATCGCAACGACGTGCGCCTGCGTGAGAAAGGAGCCGTGCACGAGCTTGCGGCGGGGGTGGTCCGTGTCGTGCAGGTAAAAGTCGGCAAACTCTGTCATCACGTTGAGCGAGAGGTTCTTGGCCGAGAGGAAGTTGTAGATGCCCTTGTCGGTGCCGCGGAAGTCCGCCTTGCCTCCGTGAGCCAGCATCAGGTGGGGATCCCCGTTCGCTCCTGCCGGCGGCGACGGCGGCGGCGGCGACGGTGGCGGTGGTGACGGGGGGGGGAGAGACGGCGGCGACGGTGGTCGAACAACCGCGTACAAGTCCATGCCGCCGTAGTTAAAGCAGAAAGTGTCCGACGACGGCCCAATCAGTGTGCCCGCCGCCCCGCTGTTATCGGTCCCAGTGGGGTCCCACGTAAGGGGGGTCGACTGCTCCTTCATGCAGCGACAAAACGTGCTGTCCCAGAGGAAGAAGTCGTCACAGGGCTCATTCGGGTTATCGATGATCCACTGTGCGCACTCTTCCGCCGAAGAGACGCTGCTGTACGGCTTATCCTCGTACACGGCGCACTGCACGTCTTCTTTGAGCAGTGAAGAGAGTGCCTGTCCGCTGGTGGGCACGAGCAGCACCGAGAGGACGAGGAAGAGCGAGGGCGACATGAGCTCTCCTGTGCGCAGTTTGTCGCCCTGCGGTGCGAAGACATGCCGCCTCAGCCAGGCGTGCGGACCTCGAGGGGGCAGGAGTTGGCGGGCGCGCGGGCCCCAGGGGGCGGGGGTTGGCTCTTGCGTGGAGAGAAGCACATCCCGCAGGAGGGCGTTGTGGGCCCGCGTGTGGTGAGGCCCGGTCGTACGCAGGAGCGGTGTGACGCGCGTGGGCAGGGCAGGGGAGGAGGGTACGAACCGGGCCCTTCTCTCAGCTTCTCTCCGTCTAGATGCCGCCCGCCTCTTTTTATTAGCGACGGGCACCCTTAATGAAAAGAGGCGGGCTGCCTCTCTCCGCCGGGCTCCTGCACGGACCACGCCTCCGGGTGGGTAGCTGGGTTGAGTTTCCCTTCTTTCTATCTTTGCAACAAACAAACAACAGAACAGAACACATTCATTTTGTGTCCCTTCCGCCTTCGGAGTCGCTCCTCGTTGCAAACCCCGTCAGCAGTTCACCTTCGGGTATGTTTCGGAATAGAAAAAAGAATTTTACAAGCAAAAAGAAACCGCAGTACCGAAACTCCGCGGCGACAAAGAGGTGCGAAACCGCTCGAAGGAGGTGCTCACCCAGGTTTCGGAAGTCCGCCTTGATGCGGTCAGTCCCCCCCAGGTTTGACCGCGCAGCTCGCAAGACTCGTCGAACACTCGGAGCCTTTCTGCGCCTCTGACTCTGCAAGCTATGCGGGAAGAGCAGTTTATTCGCAATATATCGACGAGTTCGAGAGAGCCACAGGCTTTCGCTCGGGAGGGATTGAGTGCGTCGCGACGGACTTCAGGCTACACCTGAAAATCTGACGGTTCTCGCTCCCCATCGAGCTCTTCTTGCCGCACGGCTCTTGCTGTGTGCCGGCACAGAGCTCCGTGCAAGCCTTCCAGCGTGATAGGAACGAGTGTATCGCTTTGACGGATCGACCGTGCTTGTTATCCACATCGATGTGACGCACACAGTGACACTTCAGACGACACACATTCTCCCACCCGCCGGGACGCAAAACGCTCTCGACGAGAGCCACAAGAAGGCGTCCGCACAGCAAGCCGCTCGTCGGACAGGCGTGATCGCTCGATGTCGGCGAGCGCATGGCGCACGCCTTGGACGGTGGCGAAGCCAAAAACACCGGCAGTGGCCGTCCGCTGGCGTGAGCGGCAACGTATAGGGGGTGTTTTCCAGCACAAGCGCGCATATACGCGCCACAAGGAACGCATACGCATGTGAGCGTGTGTGCCACTATCCGGATACTTTTGTACTCTTCTCAGTGGCAGCGGCCCATGCGTCACGAAAGATGCGAGTAGGTGCTATGGCGGTGCGATGCTGGCACGTCGAGACAGTTGGCGATGCACCTGACAAATCTCTAGATCGCCAGCCGCCGCCGGCGAAGGTGGAGGCCGACGTTACCACTAGATGTGCGAGCCTCTTTGGGTGTAGCTGCAGGTGACCGTTGCCATCTGGTGCCACGAGGAGGAGCGCCCCGTCGTTGTCCACATCTTCTCAGGTCATACCGACCGGGGGGGGGGGGGGGGGGGCGTTGGAATGCGGAGATAGTAACTACTCTCTGTGGTGCCCCCTTTGGTTGGGTGTAGAGAGAGGGATGTAGAGTGTATGTAGAGAGAGCGCTGTAGAGCTGTAGAGCTGTAGAGCGCTGGAGAGCGCTGTAGAGCGCTATAGAGCTGTAGAGCTCTACATCCGCCGCGGGACGAAGCGCCTCCGTTGTAGAGCGATGTAGAGGCGCTCTAGGGATCCAACGTGAAATCTCTACAACAAACTCTACATCATAAGCGGCGAACGAGGCACGATCGCTCTCCGACATGAGGCGCGTTGCACTTGCCAGTGCTGCCCTGACCTTCTGTCTGCCCGCCCAATGGGTGGCAGGTGCCTCTGCTGCTGTGGCATGCCTCACGGCTGCGACTGGCCGTTGGGGCAAACGTAGATTTCCCGAAATATTTTGAGAAATATGACAGGCTTGTTCGGAAGGAGAAATTTCCGGAAATTTACCATACCTGTGACAAGATCCTACTATTCATATACGAGTACTGTTCCCAATCATACTGTGCTCACTCAGCCCACGCGGCGCTCGTTGATGCGGAGCATTAAGGCCGTCTGGATGATATCTGCCAAGGTCTCCATTTGTTGGTCGCCGAACATTGACTTGAGCATGGAGAACACACGCTCCGCCGCGGCTGAGTTGGGCGTGAACGCGAAGATGATCTGCGCCGCCTCCGCCCACGCCGGGAACTTGGAGCCGTTCGTGGCCCACCACTTGAGCACCTGCTCAGTGAACGAGTGGTCCTCCTTGCCTTCCGAGTGGTCGATCACGACGCCAGCCGTCGCCACCAGGTAGGCGGGAAGCTCACCCAGCAGCGCCGCAGTCATGTTGCGCAGCGGCTTGACGACGGCGAGCGCATTGACAACGTTCGCGTCCAGATGCTGCGCTGCCCACGACGGGTCGAAGGCCTGCACCACGCGAAGCACCTCGTACATGTGCGAGCAATCAAAGTTCTTCTGCTGCGCCGGCAGGTTGCCCGTCAGCCGATTGCGGAGGTAGGTGATGCCGCCCTTGGCCGCCGCCGCGAGGCGCTTCCACTCGTCCATCTCGCGCACCTCAATCCACTGACGCACCTCGTGCTCCTCCTGCTCGATGGTCTTGTTATCCTCGTACTTATGCAATGTGGGGGGAGGGCCGGGGTGATGCTGCCTCGGCGCGCGCTGCCGCGACGCGGCACGGAGTCGACCGGGCCACGCCGGCGAGGGAGATGCGCTCCAGCGAGGGTCGCGTCCTTGAAACCGCCGACGCGTTTCTGGACGATTAGGCCGATCGACTCTGGAG